ATGCAATTCTAGTCTCTCTTCAAATATATTTAGCTTTTATATCAGATATCTATTGTCTATATTTATTCTTATAAATGGAAAGTGAAGGAGATTATTCTGTGTCTACATAGAGTGGTTATAATCTTTCCAGGACTCTAAGAGGCAACACAGTACTCATTATATTCCAGTGTAATTGATCTGTTACTCAACAGGTTTTGTTGTTTGTCTGGCTTTGGTAACTGGGTAATAGTGGCTTCATAAAAAAGAATTTGGAAGCATTCCTTTCTTTTCTATTTTGTGGAATAATCTGAATGGTATCAAGTATTAGTTCTTCTTTGAAGATCTAGTAGAATTCTGCATTTCATCTATCCTTTTGAGATGGTTTTAGTTGGGAGACTTTATTACTGTTTCAATCTTGGTGTGTGTGTGTGTGTGTGTGTGTGTGTGTGTGTGTGTGTGTGTGTGTTTAAATTTTTATCTTGGTTTAATTTTGGTAGGTCATATGCATCTAAAAATTCATCTGTTTCTTTTAGATTTTCCAAGTTAGTAAAATATAAGTTTAAGGAATTTCCTGAAGATACTCTGGATTTCATTGGTATCTGTGGTAACAATTCACTTTTCATATCTAATTTTATTGATTTGGGTCTTCAATGTTTTTTCTTTTGGTTAAGTTGGTAAAGGGTTTGCCATGCCAATCTTGCTTATCTTTCCAAAGAATCAACACTTTCTTTCATTGATTCTTTGTATTATATCTAGTTCATTAATATCTGCTCTGATATTAAATTTTTGAGATCAGGTCTCACTGTGTAAATTTGGTGCTGGCCTAGAACTATCTATATAGAGCAGGCTAGCCTAAAACTCAAAGAAATCTGCCTACCTCTGCCTCCCCTATGCCCTCCCCTTATCTTATTTCTCATTGTCTAGTGTTTTCAGTCTTTGTTTCTTGGTTGGTTTGGGGGTTGTTTTTGTTTGTTTGTTTTGTTTTTGTTTTTTGGGTTTGGTTTTTTTTTTTTTTGCTTTTCTAAGATTGAGGTGCACCTGTATGCCTAGATAATGATACTCCTAGAAGCAGTGTATCACTAAAGCAAAATTTCTAATCCCAGGTATAGGATAACCCCAGGCTTCCCCAACACAACATAGATTCTGTCAGTACTTTTAGTTATCCACCATTAGAGGTTATGGCCTCTTTGCTAAAGACACTGCATACCCTGGTTGCAAGATAGAGAGAAAGTAAGCTGAATCTGAGCTGGAAAAATTTCTCCTTGGCTACCCTCACAGTCCCAGAAGGTGCTACTCTCTGCAGGCTTCTGGGAGAGAAAAGGATGGGTCTTACCCATCTGTGTAACCTACAAACAGTTTTTAAAAACCCTGCCTGTCAAGATGTGTCTACCTATACAATAGTGGCACAATTGTTGTGGGGGTAACCAACTGACATCTTACATGATTTGAGGCTTGTTCCCAAAAGGGGAACTTACATTTAGTACAATAAGCCCACTTCACAACCTATGCCTGAGGAGGTTGTAGGCCCAACGGAGGTAACTAAATTGATTCAGCCTCTTTTTACAATGAACAGTAGTGAATATAGAGACCAGGCTCATATCCGTATTACTCTAAGAATAGGTGTTGGTTGAAAGCTCAGTACTAAACAAGACATAACACTCCTCCCTCTGAGGATCAGAGAGCACTGTGGAAAATGGGTGTAGGAAGTATAAGAAAAACCAGAAGATAAGCCTGTGAGATGCCATCTTCTGAACTCAATACAAGTGTCACAATCATGAATTCAGCAATTGCAGTTACCCTCACTGGCCCACATAAGACAGGCCATGTTAATAGTTATGGAAAGGGAAGGGACTCATACATCTTACTGTTGCACTATTGAATATTGACAGTCTCTGGGAATAGGGCAATAATTGTCTCTAGTTATATATCCACTGCTGAGCCTACCAAGCTCCAACAGATAGTTCCAAACCCACAGTCACTTGTACAACCCTGATTAAACACAGTGGGTCCCAGAGTTAAACGAATAGACATGAATATGAGAAAGTTGTTGGAAAGAGGGAGTGCATGTATAAAGGAATAGTAGTGAGATGGGATAGGTTGAAATTAAGAGTGGTTAGTATGCATGGTGTGCATGAATTAAATTGTCAAATAGTAAATTTTATTTAAAAATTTTTAAAGCCCATAGAATTATGTAAGTAGCCATCTGCCTCAATAAGAACTTTGTCCAGTCACTATTTGATATATGTAAGAAGTTATATAGAAAGTGTGAGCAGAGTCACACAGTGGAAGCATGCTGGGCCCATAAATAGAAAGTGTGTGTGTGTGTATGTGTGTTTTGTCTTGTTATGCTTTTTTTTTATTTTTGAGAATCTCATACATATACAGAATAAAATATGATCGTATTTACTCCTAACTTCCTTCTCTAGTCCCCTCAATATCTGCAACACAGCCCCTCCCAACTTCATGCCATTTTTTTGTTTAATGACCCATTAAGTCCAGTTAGTACTGCTCATGTGTGCATGGGTATGAGGCTGTCACTGGATCATGGGGAACCACTAGTCACTGGAGTATGAGGAATCCCCCAGTCACTGAAGTATAGGGAACACCCCAGCCACAGGAGCATAGGGGACCTCCCAGTCCCTGGAGCATAGGGAACCCACCAGTGGCCACATCACCCAAAATAAGTAAACAAACAAACAAATGAATAAACAAATAAATAAATTCTTTCCCCCAGCAATATTTAATCAAATCTGAAATAGCATCAGTTACCATTCTATTGTGGTCAATACCGTGGTAGAGAAAGATGACTTATTTTCTTTCACATCAATACTGAAGAATTGACTATACAGTACATTTTTAGAAATGTCAAGTGTCAATAAGGGTTCTGCCTGAATTTTGATTGTTCCCTAAGCTGCCAACCAAATGCAACTAATAAATATAATATGGTTATGTGTTGACACTGTTCATTACCCTTTCCATTTTCTATCTTTTATTAGTATCTTCTGAGTTTCAAGTTGTGAATGTTTCAAGTTGTGAACAGAATCACACGCAGTCTTAGTGTGGTTTGATGTCTTTTAAGGTTATTAAATTGGCTCAGCACACCTTTGTTAGCTCTGCATGTCATTAAGGAAAAACCTTTAATGTGCCTTACTTATGACTTGTGCTCAGGTCTTGAAGAATTCATAAATACACTCCTTTCAACCTCATTAAATTACCTTAGCGAATTATTGGATTTAGCGTAATTTTTATTGACATGGTTTCTCCTTTCACTTTCTTCCACGTCCTCCTGCCCTGCTCTCTTTCAAATTCATGGCCTCTTTTTTTCTTTATTGTTGTTTGCATGTATGTGCATGCTCCTATTTTTAAAGGGTAGTTTGTTGTCTCATTGCTTTTTCTCTTCTTTCTTCTTACCTATCTTAATTGTATAAAAGGGTAGCTTTCTTCCTTACCTTTATTCAAGCAGGAAAAGGGTTTTAAAATTGAATGGATTGACAACAAATAATTCAACAAACAAAACTTGGAAAATTTCCAAAATGATGCAGTGAGTTAAATCACCACACAAATGTATATACTGAGGAATTTTGTGTGGATAAAAGCTGATTACGTTAAATATTTCCTGAAATTGCATGCTATTGTTAGACCAAATAATCACAAGTAAGACATCCAGGTGAAAAATGAAAACATTTGTGGGAACCCTGCCTCACGTTGTGCCGTTACAGAAGAATATTTTTTAATAGTTTTGAGTGATTATGGAAAAGGTTTTCTGTAGATTTATGATCTGGAAGTTAATATTATTAACCCTTCCATGTTAGCTTTGCTGTTTGGAGAAAGACATGAGGCTGGATGTAACCAATGGCTGTGATGATGTCATTAATGTGATTTCAGAGAAAAGTTTATGTTCCTATTAGATTAAAGTCATTTTCTGGTTCTCTAAGTGACAAAAAAAAAAAAAAAGAAGAAGAAGAAGAAGAAGAAGAAGAAGAAACACTATCACAAGTCAAAGAAGCAATATGTAGATTACTTTCTTCCTGTGTGTACCCTGAACACACATACAAGTATTCTATAAAAGCCAGAGAGAGTGTTCTTTTCTCTATCTTCCACCATTAGAAAGTGAAAATGTGTATATTCACATATGCTTTTGTATTCAATTGTTTGGTTATCTCATAGTTGAAGTGCCAGTTTCACACAAATCTCTCTTTGGGTTAACTTGAATTGTGACATCTATCTAATTCATCTCAAATAACTCGTGTATGTGTGTGTGCGTGCGTGTGTGTAAAACTTTTTCTCTGGGATTATAAGTGAGAACATAATATCGGATTTTCTTTTTTAAAAACCCTTCAAGAATGAGTGAGAAAGGTTTTTCAGTAGTCACAGAAAGAAAAAAGGTAGCTTGAAAGTTCTGACATGGCGAGAAGTAATAGAAACTCAGTGGGATATGGTAGTAAAGATTAGGTTTGTGGGCACGATAAGAGGGAAATGTTAACAGTGTTTTAACTTTCTGCTTCAAAAGAGTATGTCTTATATGCATGCAATAACAATTGGTGAAAAAAGAGGCCATTAATTTGAACAATAGTGGGGAGGTGTATATGTGGAAGGATTTGGAGGGAGAAAAGGGAAGGGAGAGCTGTTGTAAGTAAAATACAATCTCAAATTAAACAAAAAGGACTATTTCTCTGTGTACTACCACTTCAACAAGCTTCCCTATGTGTAAAATGTTTATATTTATATGTAATTACTACAGTTATTGTTTGCCTTGAATATAAGGATACTATTGAATTTTTTTAAATTACCTTGAATCAAAACCCTAATTATTTGGCTTCCATGCTTTTGTTTTAACTATCTTAAAATGATGAGTTACCTTTGAATTAGATAATTTTATTGTAAAGCTCTATATGAAGATTAAAATATGATAGGTCACTGGTTATTTGGTTTGGCTGTGGTAAATAAAGAAACACCGTAAGATATTGATCAAAAAGAGGAACTTAAAATCAGTGAATTAAAATTGACTTTTTGTTTTCTAGGGGTCCCTTCAGTGTTGTACGGCGATGTATCAACAGAGAAACTGGGCAACAATTTGCTGTAAAAATTGTTGATGTAGCCAAGTTCACATCAAGTCCAGGGTTAAGTACAGAAGGTAAGAGATGGATTTCAAGTAAGTTATTTGATGTCTGGCTTTATTCCATCTCCAAAATCCATTTATCAACCTATCCTCATCTGGGGGTGGGGAATCAGGGTGTGATGTAGAGGGGAAGTGGGTGGAGACAGTATGAACTCCAGTTGAAACAGTTGCTCAGAAATCTAAAATATAGCATTTGAAATAGGGAAGGGTTTTAGTCACCTGGGATCTTTATGAGCTTGTTTTGTTCTGATTTTTACTAGAAAGAATGAAATATGATCATATATTTTTTAGGGTTTAATTTGAGTCCTGTTGTATGAGATGTAGGATGAAAGGGAAGTAATTACAAACATGATAATTGAGGATTTAAAAGCATCCAAGGTTCTTCTAAATATAATTTACTGCCTTTAGGATTACTATCTAGTATAACTAGAAGATTTATATTTGATTCACATGTGATTTAGTCACATAGTATTTGTGAAAGTTGAAAAGTTTGAATTATGTTTTAAGATATTGTTATATATATATAAATGTGCATTTGAAGTTATTTATTTTTAAAAATAGATGCCATGAGTTACACTAAAGGTAACAAAGCTGATTGTTATATTGACTTTCTAATTAGCCTGTCTACTAACTTTAGACTTCCACAGCCTTCTTTAGTCTTTTGCTTTTTAATCTTAAAGCAGTGCAATTGAGAGCTTAGATTAGAAAAGTCAAGGTGCAGTATCTCATTTGTGTTTTATCCAATTAGCTAGTTTGGAAAGTAAAATCTCATCTCACACACTGTGAGCTCCTACTTAATCTATTCCTATAGAATTTTTATTCAGGTTGATTACTTTTAAATATTTTTGTGACTCTTTTATAAAAAAGTTTTTTTTCTCTTTCCAGCTCCCAAATGAGTCACACATGGAGGCTTATTCTTAGTTATGAATGTCTAGCCTTAGCCTGGCTTGTTTCTAGCCAGGTTCTCTTAAATTATCCCGTATACATTTTGCCTCTGGGCCTTTCCTGTGCTCTTCTGTAAATTTTACTCTTACTCTGTGGATTTCTGGGTAGCTGGCTGACCCCTGATGTCCACCTCTCCTTCTATTTACACTTTCTGCCTGCCAGCCCAGCCTATCCTTGCTCCTGCCTCACTATTGGCCATTCAGCTCTTCATTAGGACCACCAGGTGTTTCAGACAGGCACAGCTTCACAGACTTAAACAAATGCAGCATAAACAAAAGTCACACACCTTAAAATAATATCCCCCAACACTCTTTAAGTCATTATTACCAATATAATGTTTTAGAAGTTTCTTAAAAATTACTACCAAAAGGCTGGAGAAATGGCTCAGTGATTAAAAACACTAGCTGCTCTTCCAGAGGACTTGGGTTTGATCCCATTACCCACATGAGGGCTCACAAACCATCTGTAATTCCAGTTCTAGGGGATCCAATGCCTTCTTCTGGCCCTTGTCAACACTAGTCATGCACTTAAATACACAAATATGCAAGCAGGCAAAACCCCCATGTAAATAAAATAAAAATAAATAAATCTTTTAACAAACTGTTGCCTTTAAGTTATTACTAAGAAAAACTCCCATATTGATTTGTTTTCTGGTCAAACGGTATGCATCTATTTAGATTAAATAAACTGACCATACTGCAGGAGGGAAAATCTTATAGCAAAATTTGGATGTTTTATAATTGATGATTTCATTGTCAGAATTGACCATTAACTACTTTTAAATATAGGTTATTTTATATGCTTAACAAAGTGTAAAGTTTGCCTGTCAGTAGACTTTACAGTTAGGTTTTTTAAAACTATTTTGTTTTATGTTTGGGTGTGTTGTTTTCTTTGTAGTGCTGGGGATCAAACCCAGGGCCTTGGGCAAGCTAGGCAAGTACTGTTTCTCTTAACTTTTAATTTGTCAGTAATCGATTAAGGGAAACCTTCCTGAGCACTGAGATAATTTTGTTCAAATCTGATTATTAAACAAGTAGATGTTCTGAAACCTTAAAAAGCTCTGATATTGCTTACAAACAGATTGGTTCTAATTTAAAATTACAAATATTAAACCAGTTATTAAATTACCTATATTAAATTACAGTAACATAAGTGAGATCTTCTTATATATTACAGATAATTAAAATGAATACTTGTAGCTTATTTCTTCACCCCAAAATTTTAATATCAAAGACTTGATTTTTCTTAACATTATACCTAGTTATGTGTCTTTCCAGGATAAAGGTATTTTTAAAGGCGACAACTACTTGCTCATTTGTCTATAGTGAATTATTGACCGATTTCTTTAGCCAGATCTCTGGAACTCTAGACCCATAATATGAGAGTGAATCTGTATTACCACTTACAGCGAAGCATGGTGATTTACACCCTTAATTCTAGAATTTAGGAGGCAGAGGCAGAGACAGGTAGATCTCTGTGAGTTCAAGGACATCCTGGCCAGTCAAGACAAGGCCAGTTTGACCCATTTAGTCAGAGGGTCAAACACCAAATTTTAAAAGGAAGACAGTATTACATATAATTTATTTGTATCCCTGGTTTGAAGTTCTGTCTCTACTTAATATGACATATACGTAGTTCACACCTTCAGTTCTTTGGTGGTTTAAAAAAAAGTTAAGTTTTGTCCTGGAAGCAAAAAAAGTAATTCAGTTGATCTTTTATACTCTATATCTCTTTGAGCAAATTGGAATCTTGCACTATTTTTATATCGATGTTATCCACCTACAAACTTTAAATGATACCCATTTGTATTCTTCATATTACCCATGGCTTTATCTGGTTTGAGTGAGAATTCAGTGATATTCTAGTGAAACTATGCCATTGGCATATTCATGGCATTATCCTTTAGTTTTTCCTGTCTTTATCAGCACAGTGACTTACTGTGAGTTAACCAAGAAACAGAATCAAATTTCACAACTAGTGCAGTCTCATTTTTTTTTTTTTTTTGTAATGGAATGCCCATACCCTCTATTGCTCTTATTCACACTAGTTTACTTCATATTGGCTTTGTCACATTTTATAAGATATGTAATAAATGTGATAAATAGTAAATTATTATATAAAATATCTGAATATTGACACCTTTATGACCTTTCTGCCCAACTTCTTTTATCCCTTTTCTAGTTACTATAAGCAAAAAAGTCTACTTCCTTCTCTTCTATTCCAAAAATAACCTGTTCCATGGCAAAGCATATAAGACATACTCTATTAAAAAGAAACAATTTTTGAAGTGACATTTAGCACAGTAAAGCAGAACCCATAAATTCAAGTAAGACAATCTAGAAATATCTTTGATATCCAGCTATTTAAGACAGTTTCTTAAGCAATACCATTTAAAACTCCAGCCTATCACTTATTCTTACCTTAAACATACCTTTCCTCACTTTCGGCTTGTGGTTTATTTGACCCTTGTCATTGCCCCTTTTTTTCCTGCCACTGTATCTGTTTTAAAACTATATTGTGAGCTAGATGTGGTTGAACAGGACTATAGTCCAAAAATTAGATGGAGGCTTGAAGATCAGGAGTTAAAGGTCATCCTTGGCAACTTAGTAAGTTTGAGGTCAACCTGTGCTACATGAAACTCTGTCTCAAGAAAGAAAATAACAAATATGAGTATATATGTCTCATGATTCTCACCTGGGAGCTTATAATATGATTTTACTAGAAAGATATGTAGTAAATTCTAAATAAGTAGCATACAAATTTAACTTTGAAACAAAATATTTATTAATCAAAGATTACTATGTGGTTCAATAAATTTTAAATTTTAAATTATATTGCCTTACTGAAGAGTCCTTATTATAATTTGGATATTTATTCTTTACTTTTGCAATCAATATTCTAATTGTTTTGTTCAATAGGATTTTCATATTACAAAAAATTCAATAGATCCTTGAAAATAAAAACAGGTTTCTATGTATGTGTTCATTTTAAGTTTAGAAAATTCTGAGACATATCACTCTTAAATGGTTTAGAATTTCTTCCTTTGTATGTATAAAGATTGCTTATGAGATGAGTAAAAGGTGTCTACTAAATGAAAGCTAAGTGAATTTATATTAAGGTATTTCTGACATGGGGCCGGTTAGATAGCCCAAAAGGTAAAGTCACTTGCCTCTAAGCATAACAGCTTTAGTTTGATCCTAGGAACCAACATGGTTGGAGGGATTTGTCTCCTGAAAGTCATGTTCTGACCTTCACGTACACACTAACACACAGAATGAACAATACATGTAATAAAATTTCTGAAATTTTACTTTTTTATATGTACATGTCTATGTGAATGTATATATAGGTTTCTGTGGAAGCCAGAAGGTGTCAGACACACTGGGGCTGGAGTTACAGATAGTTGTAAGCCACCTGATATAGTTGCTGAGGACCAAACTTGGGTCCTGTGGAAAAGCAGGAAGTATTCCTAACCATTGAGCCATCTCACCAGCCCCTGATTGGGAGATATTTTCATCCACATGTGTGTGTACAAAGACACATAGATTTATCCATTAGTGAACTTCCCACATTATTATCTTTGAACTTTTAATTAATTCACTTTTTGTCTCTTATTCTGCTAAGCCACTAATTAGATTTTGTTTTAAAAATAGTATCCAAATTAATTCAGGCAAATAAGGATATTAAAAGATATAAAAGAGATAGAATTTAGAATTAGAAACTGAGTATCTGAAGTTCTGATTACTTTTACTTTTATTTATTTTGGGGCCAGGGGTTGAAACCAGAACCTTGAGCATGCTAAGTATATTATGTACCAATGAACTCGACTCCCTGTCCATAACCACAGTTTGAATAAAGATTGATATCTTTGTGTAGGCATTTCCTACAAGTTTCAACATTCTCTCCTAGAGGAAAGAGAAGACCAATGAAACTCACAAGGCTTAGGAAGCTCAGAAAGTTGTAAGAGTCTCTTCCCAGGATTCTAGAAGAAGTAAGCAATTTCTGGGAAACAAAAACTGATTTAAAAACAAAACAAACAAAACAAAAAACTGCCTGCAAAGCATAAGTCTAAGCAAACCAATAAGGAT